TTTTTTTTTTTTTTTTTCTCAAAAGCTTTTTAAATAAGATCCCAGCTGTTGATTCCTTGTGATAATACCTGTGTGATCAGGGCTAGCTGTCTTGCTTTCTTGCTTTCTTTCACTGGGGATTGAACACAGGATCTTTGCACTAAGCTGCATCTCTAGCCCTTATTTTTGAGACTGAGTCTCTTCCTAAACTGCTAAGTTGCCCAGGCTGGGCTCAAACTTGGCATCCTTTCAGCCTCAACCTCCCAGAGTGCTGGGATTGATTACAGGCATGTGCCACCATGCCTGGTCACTTCTTGTTTCTCACTTAAGTAAAGAATAAACGAGAAGACATACACTAAAAGGTAGTTTATTTTTTTGAATAGATGGAAACATGTTCTTGTCACTTCGCTTAGTTTAAGAAAAGACGTCCAAACCAAGAGTAGTGGCACATGCACTTAGAAGGCTGAGGCTGGAGAATCTCAAATTGAGGCCAGCATGGGCTACGCAGTGAGTGCCACGCCATTGTGGACTACACAGCAAGACCCTGTCTCAGAGTAAAATTTAAAAGCACTGAGGATGTAGCTCAGTGCTCTCAGGGTTTGATCTTAGTACTCAGAAAGAACGAGGGAGGGAGGGAAGAAATGATGTCATCCTTAGGGTGCTTGTGGAGAGTAGGTGTCAGTGTAAACTAATGATTGCAGTTTGTGTGATATTTAGAGGACTGTTGTAGACAGAGTGAGAGCATTTCTTTCATGGCCCTTTGTGAAGCTGGGAGTGAAAATGATGCACTTCAAGGAGAGTGTGAGTCCTTTGACATTGTTACAGGTGTGGGTTTCCCTGTCTGAAGTTACTGAGGAGTGATGCCACTAGGTGGAGCATTTCAGACAGTGCTTGTTGAGCATACTGCCAGACGTCACTGATTGTCTGGGACAGCTCTCTTCACCCCTGTCCCACAGCAGTGTAATTTGTGGGTAGATTTAGACACTTCATGAATGATTGTGGCCGGTGTGGTGCTGCACACCTATAATCTTAGGGCCCAGGAGGCTGAGGCAGGAGAATTGCTGCAAGTTCAAGGCCAGCCTGAACTATACAGCAAGACCCTGTCTCAAAAAAAAGAACCAAAAGAAACCCTAGTGAATAAAATCAAGCTGAAAGTGATTATGGTAATTGAAAAGGAGCATTTTTAGAAATGTAGATGCCCAAGTTTATTTTTGATAACTCTATTTGAAGTTGTCTAAGTTACTATTTTATCTTGTCCGTAATGGTGTCCTTAAAGTTTTCTCAAGGTTAAGGGTATACGACTAGGGGCCAGAGATATAGCTCAGTGGCATAAGCACCTGCCTGGTAAGCGCGAGGTCATGAATTCAGTTCCCCGGTACCAAAAAAAAAAAAGAAGAGTGTAGGCCTAGACTTCACAGAACTTGTTATAAAGGCTCAGAACCATGGCCGGGTACTCTTGTCAGCAGCTCTTTTCTTTTCTTTCTTTTTTTTTTTTTGGTCTTTTTGAGACAGGGTTTCGCCATGCACTTCAGGCTGGCCTTGAACTCACTTTATAGCCAAGGCTGGCCTTGAAGTCAGAGCAATCCTCCTGCCTCAGCCACCCAAGTGCTGGGATTACAGGCATGAGCCACCTTGCCCAGCTTCTGTTTTCTAACGTAACACCAGCTTTTTGGGCGTTAGGCTTTTGAGAGTATTAGAACTATGAACCTGGGAAGAGCTCAGCTGCCCTCTGGTCTTTGCATACAGTTTGATCCAGGAGAACTCTTTCTCTGATTCTTTTTTTTGGGGTGTTTTTTTTTTTTTTCCCCAATACTGGGAATCAAACTCATGACCTTGCACTTGCCAGGCAGGTGCTGTGCTGCTGAGCTAAATCCCCTGCCCTCTTTCTCTGATTCTTTTTTTTTTCATCTTTGATTCTTGATCAAATGTTGCCTTTTACTGTGGGGACAGTTTGGGGTTGGCACTTTCAGTGTGCTTGCTGTTCCCTCACGAAGTTGCTCAGAGCCTTAGTGAGGCAGTGAAATACTACTGAACTGCAAAGCAGATGTAAGCTGTTAGTATTGTAGGGGAAGTCACAGAATCATTGTTAGTGATAAAGTAGTACTAGTTAAATTCCTTGCTTTTTTTTTTTTTTTTTTTTTTT